ATATCAGGTTCAATTGTTGGAACCAATTCGAGCTGGAACTCCTCAGGAAACGCTCAAGAACAAAGAACAATTGACTGAATGGGTTGGAGAGTTCCAGATCGATTCGATCAAATTGGCTGATGGAGAACCATCAAGGGACGTGCCAGGAATCTGTACGATCAATCAATTCATCGCGATGAGGTCTGGATCACAAACGCCCAATTCGACATTGAGCTTGCTGGGTTCCGAAAATTTAAATTCGGACGACGGCGGGGAAATTTCAGGCCATGATTCGCCGCGTCTCAGGGACGTTCGATGCATAGAATCGATCGAAGAGTATAATTCGTTGATAAAGAAAGCTGATTCGTGCCATGGATTGAAGAATGAAGCTGTGCATCAAAAAGCCTCAATCTGGCAAAGTTCATTGCGGCGGTTTGTGCCGCCAGAAACTAGAAACGAGGAATTGAAGAGGATGGTGATGAATCGTGACTGGGGATGGGTCCATAACTTCAGTTGGAATCCTGGAGAAGAGCATGGAGTGGTTCAATCGGGCTGGAAATCGTCGATACGAAAACCCCCAATTCGGTCGAATGACTCAACAACGGAGATGGAGCTCGGCGACCTGGAAATTGTGCTGATCGTGTTCAAGTGAGATTGGAAGTCGGGTCAGGTTTGTTTCAAGTCCAGGAAGGGTTCCCAACAGCTCTGCAAGCTTCAAATTCCCTGGAGAAGCTTGAAGGTGAGTTTACAACTGTAATTTTTCTGCCAAAAAAGATGATCGAACAGCCTACATTCGATCCAATCTGGAATCAATTCTGTGAACGGTTTGAGAAACGAAAGGCCAAAGTGTTGAGGGCAACACTTTTTCAAGAGGGAGGGCCTGATATGATCCCAAATTGCCAACCATTCACGTCACAATTACTTGACGAAGTAGCTATCGAAGTTGGGAAGAAGAAGGGCAGAATTTGGCTAAGTCAAAATCCGTGTTCAGGATACATACTTTGGAGGCATGGTTCTCTCAATTGGCTTGGTGGAAATGCAATTTTAAGGGTTTGTTTTACAGATAAAGTTACCATGTTTCCAATGGTATGCTTTTTGGATCCAGATGATGTCATTAAGGTTGTTTTCCAAGGTCTCAAAGTTGCTACCTCAAAACTGGAAAACTGCCAGAAAATGGTCAAGTCTGGAAACTGTTTCGTGAAGCCTACTTTGGAGCTTAATTCGAGGAGTATGGATCTGATTCAAGTCCAAAGGATTCCTCAACATGAAACTAGGTATGTTTGTGAACAAAGGGAAGGAATTGGATGAAGAATTGGAGCTCTGGAAGGCCTCGAACAAAAGGCGCGAAGTTAGTACGAAAGCTGCCTTTTGAATGTTTGTTGGCAGCTTGCTTGTGCTTCAAGAAAGGGAGTTTAAACCCGAATTTTGTGTCCTTTTTAGTGTAGAATTTTACCTTAATTGTTTTCTAGTTCTATTAGGATTGTATTAGGTTTTATTTGCCTTTAAATATCGTTCTAATTACGTTGTAAAATTCAGAGTTGATTGAATAGAAAAGAAACCGTTTGGTTTTGCAAGTTTGCGAACTTGTTTTGGGTTTGGTGGATTCCAAACTTGCTGAGCTTGTGTATCGATTGAATAGTCACTTCAATCGTGGTCGAGCAACTACCCTTTTATACCAATCGAGCTATCCCCAGGTGTGGATTTGTCCTTTTGGTTCCGTTTTATCCAAGTTCGTATTAAGAACGCGTTGTTCTTGATTCGAGCTCAATCGATTCTTCGATTGAGTCTTTAGCTGCGTGACTTTGATAAACATACACCTCCAGGGGCGTATTAGGTCGACCGGATCCTATATGAGGTCGACCGAATTCTAAATGAGGTCGACCTAATCCTAACTGAGGTCGACCGGAAAGTGCAAGTCACCGTGACATGCATGTCACCGTAGGCACACCCTAACTTTTATTAATGTTTTACAATGACTCAAATTATTAGAACAAGTCCATCCTAAATTTTGTACAATTCCCTTATCGCTAATCAGCCTGCCAGCTATCTATTTGATAAGGTTTTTTTATCATCACAAACGGGCCAAACATCGGAATTATAATAATACAGACTAGATACAAAACCCGGCCCATTGGCCGGATACATTTGATCATGATATAAACAATAAGTAGTAATTATCTTAACTATTTACAACATAACTATATTCATTATCGATTCTACTATCTTCACTCTCAAATGTCTCGAGTATTATTAGCTTCTTCTTAACAATATCGTTTCTTAACAACATAACTATATTTATTATTGATTCTGCATATAGATGTCTTCTTCTTAACAACGTCGTTATAAGTATCAGTGACTCCACTTCCTCTACCATCAAAAGAGTCTGTGTAATTCTCCTCATTTAATTGCTAACAAATTTGAAGGCAAAACTTATGCAAATATGAAACATCATTATCATGCAAAATAAATTTACCTCATCCAAGTCATTTGCAATAATTGTTTGAGATGTGTTCTTTCTCATCTTTGATTATCTTTCAAACTATGAATTCACTTATGAGAATTGTAATTTCCATTGTCGTTCATATGATTTTCGCTAACCTCAATTTTCAGAAGAGAAGGAGGATGTCCTCTTTTACCAGTATTTTGAAATAGTTTCTCAGCATCCTGCAAATCTAATAAAAAAAAATCTTAGTTCTTTGTCGTTCAAAATTAAAATGTCCGGTTCAACATTTTTCTTCAAAACATGAAGTTAGATTGAGATTCACTATTTAATTCAACAGTATAATTACATATGTTCAAAACCCTCTCACCCTTGACCCTTCCCACATTACTTGCCCCCCACTTTATAATTGTAATACGTTTTTTTGTTCTCTCATGTATAAATTACCCCATTATTTTGCTACCATATAACCTTTATAATTAAAGAAGTTACATAAGTTTCATGTAAAAGATGGTATTTTATGCAATGTGTATGAAAAATTCTTACATAAGCCATTACAAACATCTCATGAAACATAATGACAATTTTGACTTAACCCATATTATTCAATCTATTTAACCTGTTTTAAAGTGGGCAATACCTACCTCTTACGGCGGGCAGGTATGAGTACTCTTCTCGACCTCACACATCCTGACATTCTCCATCCTCGACTCGAGAATCTAGTTTAACTACAATTTATCATGTTATACCTTTTTATTTTCTAATAAAAATAAATATTTCTAATCTTTTCGATTTAAATTACATACTGCATATGGATTGACCTATCTTGATATGAACGGGTATGGATATCACAATTGCCATTCCTAATGCGAGAGGGATTGCAGGAATAAACAACTAAAGTTAAGTACTGGAGCTTGATTAAAAAAATAGAGTAATGACTATTTATCAGCTAAACCTTTTTCAGATTCTTTTTTATTAGTCAAGTTTATTAAAATGCTATTAATTAGCTAAATGTTAACTGTTCGTTGACTTTTCCTTTTGATGATGGTGAGTTTTCAGACGTGGCGCTGAGTTGGAAAGAATATTCTGATGTGGCAGTAAAAAAATGTCACATTAGCAGGTCAACCATTGACCACTTCAATATTTTATTATAAAAGGGTTAATACTATTTATTAGCCAAATCTTTTTAGCATTCTTTTTTAGCCAAACCTATTTAATTACTAATAATTATTCAATTAGCCAAATGTTAACTTTCAGTTAACAATTTTGTTAGTAATATTGACTTGATAACGTGATACTGACTTGGAAGAGACAACTGAAGGTCAACATTCCAAAATTTTAGTATTATAACTAAGAATATAGTAACAAAATTATCAACGATAACGTAAAAATGACAAATATTTTAATGCATTACAAAATATTTGGCCAGTTATTAGTAATTCAATAGGTTTGATTAATAAAGAAAATGCGAGAAATGTTTGGCTAATAATTAGTGTTTACTCATTTATTCATTGATGAGGTGGCAACTGAGTTGGACGTTGAGTTGGAGCACCGTTAAGAAATAGTTAACGGTAACAGAATAATGGCTATTACTTTGACGTGTTACAAAATGTTTGACAAATTTTTAGTATTTCAATAAGTTTGTTAATAAAATATAACTAAAAAAATTGGCTAATAAATCATTAAAAAGAATGCTGAATTTTAATAAGCTATTTATTAGTACCTCAAATTAATTGGTCTATTAAACCAAACCATCGATTAGTAGGGAAACATCCAAATATATAAAGGACTAAGTAATCCTTCCGAACTGTGCGCCGAGAGCCGGAAAAATTGAATTGGAGAGTTCTCAAGGAGAAACTCCATATATGATTTGTAGGATGACCAAGCTATAATAGCTTCGTAATTATTCAAGTTCTTCAACATCACATCTCAAACTACTCGTAGTAACTTGCCATAAATCCATGATGGAATTTTATCCATATATCCTAGTCAACTTTTAAAATTTCAAAGTGGCGCTCACATTTATCTATTGTATATTATAAATATAATTAATTAATTAACAACAAAAAGATAATATAAATATTCAATTAATGTGCAAATATGAGTTAGATTTTTTATACTCTTTCTTATGTTCTAGTTTCCATTGACATTTTCATGGAACATATAATTCTTTGTTCCCCAGTTCTAATTATGTTACTATATGTTACTTTTGAAAAGGAGGACAAAGAATTGGTAACCAATATTTGTTACGTTAAAAGTTAAACGAAATTTTCTCATTTATTGTTATTGACTTTGTGACAACATTATGTTTATTAGTACGTAATGTCTTTGTTTTGTGTACATATCATAAACATGACAAACAAATAGAAAATGATAGTATGGTAATTATGGACTTTAAGTTCTAAATCTCAAACCCTTAAATCCATAATAAAACATCTCAACAAACAAAAGGATTGTTAGAAAACCATAATGCCTCAAATCTTTGATAAATCCTTGAATTTTTAAATTGCAAAACCCTTATTTTTAAATTCATGAAGCAAACAAACCGTAACTCTTTATTGTAATACGATGACCAATTATCCTTACAAAGTACAAACACATCCTTATAAATGGTACCAATGGTGCCGTTGATGATCAGTGCAACAGGAACATCTTGTACCAATAAGCCGAGTACTTGAGGTACCTCTTGAGATTGTTCTTGAAATCAATGTATATCATCCCGAACCGCACCTGATAACCCGCGTCCCACTCGAAGTCGTCGAACAAAGACCACGAGTAGTACCCTTTCACGTTCACTCCGTCTCTGCACATAATTTGTACATTACACTTAGGCACAACGTGCATGCATGAATGTACCCATATTAATTAGTTTGATCAAAGTTTTTTTAAAAAATTACTTGATAGCTAGGAGAAGGTTCTGCAGGTGTAGATGGAGGTACTTGATCCTCATCCCATCTTTGATGAACACACTCCGAGGCAACGTGTCGTTAGTAGCATCGGCCAGACCTACGTACATACATCATACAGATTAATCTCAATTATAATCATATCTCCTACGACAGTACTATCTCATAATATTAATGCGACGAGAAATTCAAATTCCGGATATGTATGAATGTATACCATTTTCAGTGATGTAGATTGGGGGATTCTTGTACTTCTCTTTTACATACCGCACTAGCCAGTAAATTCCCTTAGGGTAGATGAACAGCCAATTCAGACCTGTCTGCAAGTAATATAAATAACAAAAACAAAATCATGTCGAGCCTAAAAAAAAACATTTGAAAAAAATTATAATAATTCAAGTAACATACCGGTGTACCAATAGGAACCCCAGCCTTGGAATCTACATGCAAGTGGGCAATTAATTACGCAAACAATCAACACCATAACTAAGTAATTTAGCATTTTGAAATCAACAATCATTAACAAAAAAAAAAATGTTACACTTACTTGTGAATATGATTTGAGAATCGGAAGAGTAGCTGGCGTTGACCCCTTGAAGGACCGGATTATGGGCAGCGTAATTGGTAGTATAGTAATTGACTCCCATAAAATCCAACGACCCTCGCAGCATGCGAGACTGCTCCGAGGTAAACCGGGGCCGTCTTTTCCCGACCAGCCTCTTCATGCTGGTCGGATAGTCGCCATAAGTAATAGGATGGGCATACCATCCGAAGAAGAAGTCGAGCGCCCTCTCCGCGGCCTCCCAGTCGGCCGCAGATTTGGGAGATTTGGGCACGAACCAGTGGGTGACTAGCGTGATTCCGATTTCCCCCTTTTGGGCCGACTGGTACTTGGACTTGTAGAGCTGGACCGCGGCCGCGTGGGAGAGGAGCAAGTTGTGGGCCGCGATGTAGGGCTCGGTGGCCGAGTTGCCGACCGTGCAGTTGCCCATGTAGCGCGAGCAGTGGCCCGGCGCGAAGCTCCCGCCGTTGTAGCCGTTGACGCTGTAGGAGTAGGGCTCGTTGAGGGTGCACCATTTCTTCACCCTGTCGCCGAATAGCTTGAAGCACAGGTCGGCGTAGTCACGGAAGTCGTCCCTACAATACGAGTAGTGTACAGTAAATCAACTGTTAGTCTTTTGTGCACAATACGCGAGAACGTCTTAAAGACATCGCGACCTAGTACGCGGTGACTTACACAACGTTGGAGCTGAGGAAACCGGAGTACTGATCATCGAGCGCCTGTGGGAGGTCCCAATGGAACAAGGTGACGAAGGGCTTGATACCGTTGGCCAGGAGGTCGTCGATCAGCCGGTTGTAGAATTTCACTCCCAATGGATTCACCCCGCCGCTCAGTTTCCCCTCTGTCACATGAAAATTGATTACCACGATTAATAATAAGACGAAAAAGGATCATATAATATTTGATTTCCATTATTGATTATGCAATATATTGAGAGGTGAAGTGATCAACTTAATTAATTATAA